CCCGTTGGTTAGCATGTAGCTATAAAGGATCATATATAAGTGAGCAGAGTCTGTGGCGTTTCTGGTAATAAATGCTTTATTACATTAATTTCATAACATTGTACCGGTTCATTGATTACACTGAACAAGGGCGCTCATATCAGTATCACTCCATTTAAACAGAAAACAATGAAGCTCTTCCTTTTTTTGTATGTTAAGTTACACCTTGAATTTTGGGTAAGCTTTCCTTTACCTCTAAGGGAAAGTCCACCGATTTCTCAAAAAATTCTGCACAATTCCAAAATGCAACTCACTACATACCTACGCGTTATAACTGTTTTGAGATGTAAACAGTCATCCAGAGTGGTCTGATGTGAAGTGGTTCATTGTAGAGACTTCTTTACAGTGGTGGTGATAGGAACCAGGGGTCACAATGACTAACCACACAAAAACAGCCACTTTATTTACTATCCAAAACCACCAGTGAACCTAACGTTACTCGTGTCTTCTCAGTGTTTATATGTAACGCTGATGGTAAAATAGTAGAAATAGATGAAAATAAATGGATTTTTAGACATTTTAGGCCTAAACTTTCTCAAAACTATCATAAAACAATGTCTCACGAATCAGGCAGTGTATTCATAATCATTTCATGCAATATACCTTTCTGTGAGGGAGATTCTAGAGGTGGACGTTTGGTTCCTATCGACACCAATGTGAACAGTTCTAGGTTAAATCTCTCTGGAACTGAGCATTTCACACCAAACCACTCTGAATGACTTCTCAACTATATAACTTTCCGGAAATTCTGAACAATTGGTGGAGCCCCCCTTTCAGCGAGCTGCGTATATTGTCTTTAGGCAACTCTTTCAGTGGGATAAAAAAATGCAAACTGAATTTTAGACCCATATTTTAAGTTCCACTACTTTTTAACAATCTTTGACAGTAGCGAAATTTTAATTTAAAGTTTTAACGTCATCTCTCAACTTTTATGCTGGTGCTCACGTGACGTTTGTTTCAAACATCTTAAACAAAAACAGCGATCAAGTTTATTTCGCCTGGCTAAAATCTTGTTTATGAATATAGTAAAAAAGCTTATGCTTAAGTGTTCAGAAGCAGTTTACCATGTTGGGCTGGAAGCTCCCACGAGACGTTTAACTGCAGTTTTCTGATGGGTCGGACGTGTTTTTAGTAATCCTTAGAAAAGCCACAGTATATCATGAATACAGAGGTTTTGCAGTTTGAACAAACTTCCCACCCGTTAAGAGTTGAGATACACACCCATGAATATACGTACTTTGGAAAATGCGGGCCTCGAACTCTCAACCTCTTGCATGCTAAACGGGCGCTGGATCAAACCGTTAAGGCCCTTTGAGTCTGAGACAGATTTATGGTCATTACTTTCTGAAAAGATGCACCACGTGACAGTCAACACAACAGAAACATGGACACAATGCAGAGTACTGGAATAAACTGGTTAACATCTGTAAAACTCAACTGTTTAGATCTGCAAAAAAAAAAAAGAAATAGTGGATTGATTTTCCCTTCTTTTTTCTAAATGTAAACTGTGATTCAGATTTCCTCAGTGGTTCCATTAGGAGTCAGGAGAGTAAGGTTCCCTCTGGCGTCCTGATCCGCCTCAATCGCCTCAAACAAGGACTTGAAATTCCCCGCACCAAATCCCTGCACACACAGAACAGTGATATGATATTATATAATATAAAAAGGAACCGTGGAACAAAATACTTTTAAGCACACAATCACATAACAAATGAAGTCAGCAGTTGCATATCCTATTAAATATCTACACACGTGAAAGAGATGGTTAATCAAGGGTTCTTTAGTAAGCAACAATGGTAGAACCATGAGTTCTGTATAGAACCATTTTATGCTTACATGGTTCTTTGCATGGTGAAATGGTTCTTCAGATTGATGGAGAATGTGCCGTAGATGGTCCTAAATAGCACCAAAAAGTTTTTGGTGTCATATACACATTTAAAAAAGATGGTTCTTCCAGTGTTTTTTAGTAAAGGCAATGGTTCTATTTAGAACCATGAACACTCAAACAACCCTTTGTATGATTAAAGGGTTCTTTGCATTAATATAAATAAAATGCATAAAATGGTTCTTCAGATTGATGGAGAATGTGCTGTAGATGGTTCTAACTAGAACCTTTTTGAAAAGGGTTCTACATAGCACCAAAAGATTTCTTTTATTGTTACAAACTGGACATCATCACAATAGCAAAACCCATTTTTGCTGCTATATAGAAGCCTTTTCAAAAATATAGCACCACCTACGGCACATTCTCCATCAATCTGAAGAACGCTTTTATGATGCAAAGAACCCTTTAATCATGCAATATGGTTCTATATAAAATCTTTTTTTTACTAAAGAAGCATCTTTTTTAAGTGTGATGCTTAATGTCAAGCTTGTAACAAAGGAAGAACCCTTTTGGTGCTATATAGAACCATATACAACACATTCTCCAACGATCTGAAGAACCATTTCACCATGCAAAGAACCATGAAAGCATGAAATGGTTCTATGTAGAGCTTATGGTTCTAAATAGAACCATTACCTTTACTAAAGAACCCTTGAATAAATCTCTTTTAAGCATGTAGATATTTAATAGGATATGTAACTGTTCACTGCATTTGTTATGTGCTCGTGTGACCTCAATGGTTAAGAACAAATTCTCTATAAATGTCCCCACGTGGATTGAACACTGTTAATCTGTGAAGTCTTTAGGGAGAAGCTTAATGCCTATGACATGTCAGAACTCACCTGGTGGTTGTGTCTCTGAATAACTTCCAGGAACACGGTGGGCCTGTCCTGGATAGGTTTGGTGAAGATTTGGAGGAGGTAGCCGTTATCATCATAATCCACCAAAATCTTCAGCTCCTGGACAAAACACAATTACACAATTATGAAGAAAACAATTTCCACAGGCTGTATTTACACAAAACTGAATTTCAGATTCTAGTGCTTTACGTGCATGTAAACGTTAAAAGTACACAAAGTATAATTTAGACATGGTGGTCATCCAAATGTGCATAAAAGAGAAGACCAAATAAAAAATGAAAGAAATAGATCTTATATCAACAGCCCACCTCCAGGATATTGAGGTCCTCAGAGATTTTGACCTTTGAATGCTTCAGTTTCTCCCGGAGCTGCTGATAGTAGGTATCAGGTACAGTCATGAACTCCATGCCACGCTGCTTCAGATTTCGGATCTACAGAGAAGGGCAAGCAAGAGCACACATCACAAGACGACACACTTATTTACTTATTATTATGGTCTTTATTATTTATCTATCACATATCTATCACACCCGTTTCAATGTGGGTTTCTTCCCACAGTCCAAAGACATGCAGTGAGGGCAACTGGACCTAAAATTGCCCCTAGGTGTGAGTGTGTGTGTGAGAACGTATATGTCTGTGTGTCTGCCCTATGATGGACAGGCGACCTGTCCAGGGTGTATCCTGCCTTCCACCCAATGACCGCTGGGATAGGCTCCAGCTCCCCCCCGCGATCCAGAAGGATAGGTGGCTTAGAAAATGTGTGTGTGTGTGATATTTTCTCTATCTGCATACTTGCCAGAACAAATTCCTTTTACAGTTTATTAGTGCTTGGCTAACATACAATTCCATTATTACATTAGTCGGATTTTGATTCTGATTCCAGTTGAGCGGACATCCGGTGTTACTCACAGATTCTATGATGTTGGGGGTGTTCATGGCAATGTGCTGGACCCCTGCACCACCATAGTACTCCACATACTCCTGCACACACATACACGTAAAGAAGAGATGACTGACAGGAAGCTTTGTGTGTGTGTGTGTGTGTTTGTGTGGGTGTTGGTGTGTGCTTGTATCTCTCCATTAGAGAGAACCTAAAGAAGTTCTTTACATTTTATCAGAGGTTCAAGTGTCCAAATGCGTTGTGGGTCTTCTGAAAGTGAAACACATTGAGACAACTAGCACACACATGCATGCGCACTCCCACCTGTGTTTGTAAATTCAAATGAACGTGTGTGTGCATATTAATGTTAAATATCTCCATGTGTTCACAGAGATGCATGTGCATATTGATGTGTGTACAGTTGAATGAAAAAGTTTGAACAACATCTATAGGGATAAATATATATATATATATATATATATATATATATATATATATATATATATATATATATATATAGGATGATATGTTCATGTATTTTCACAAAGTTCAGCTAATAATGTCATTTGACCAGGGGCTCCCAAATGTTTGTATACAACTGTACATGTATGTGTAATCATATGGACAGACGTCTGTGTGTGTATGTATGTGTGTGTTCTTGCCTGGATCTGGGATTTGCGTTTTCCCATGGCTGGCTCATTAATGGGCATCTTCACTGTCTCCTCATAGTTGGCCACCACTATGGAGCGCAAAGCGCTGAATTCAGTCTGCAGCTGCTTATCATCCACAGACCAGAACCTGTGGAACAGCATGTTCCTCCGGTACCTGTCCACACAGACACACACACACAGTCACACAGTCACACAGACACACACACACGTAGTTAAGCCATGGTCCCAGCGTGTGATTGTTTGTTTTTATCGTCTATGTAATTAAATCGTTAAGATGTAAACAAAGTCATTCAGAATGGTTTGGTGTGAAATGCTCTGTTCTAGAGAAACTATCATGTCAGAATTGTTCACAGTGGTGGTGATAGGAACCAGACGTCTGAAGGGTTTAATGCCTCTGAAAGCTCCATCATAGACAGTTATTACAAGAAATAGTTATGGACATACAACCTGATGCCTGAGACATTGTTTTACAATAGTTTGGTGTTAAAAATCCATTCATGGTGGAGAGGTACATTTAGAGCAAAATTATCCCCAAAGAAAATTATTTTTTCAAATGTAACTTATCATCATGAACATTACATATAAAACTAAGAAGACGTGTGTATGTGTGTAGGTTCACTGGTGGTTTTGGACAGTAAATAAAATGGCTATATTTGTGTTGTAGACACCTGGTTCCTATCACCACCACTGTAATCAGAATCTGTAAGTTTCTCCGCAATGAACCACTTCACATCAAACCACTCTGAATAACCTTATGTCAGTAATACTTATGGAATTCTCCTTTAAGCCAGATATATAATGGGTAGGGCCGAATTTCAGCTTCATCAGACGTCAAAGTCAGCGGGCTAAAGTTTATAGTGTTTATGTGGCGGAATCTGCTGTCGCACAGTAATGGGCAAACGCGCACGACGTAGTATCCGCATCGTTCCCTACACTAGTGTTCTGTATAGTGATCCAGATGTTCTAATGTAGGGTAAAGTGATCAGGGGACTATTTTGGACACAGCTCTAGTGTCTTCTAGTCTCCATTTCAGTAATCTTGACCTCTACTGGCTACACATGTATCAGTGTGTGCATGAAAAAATAAGACAGCAAGTTATCAGTTTTAATTATCAGCTGTAGTTCCAATATTAGACAGATAATTACAATTAAACTATAATAGTATATTGGTCACTGACATATCACATACACTCACATAAGTACATAATTTAGCTAACTAAAACCAGTTAATAATCTGAATTATAAGATTTTTAATATCTGAAACTTTCAAGCTTAATAACTGAACAATAGCCCAGACTAAGTGCTTAACTGAAGTTCTTGTGGCATAAAGCCCCCCTACTGGCCCATTCCTCTATACTCAGATAATTGCTGTTTGTATGATGCCTCCATTCTCCGCCCCTAACTGCCTCCAGATGCAGGCCGATGCTGAGTCATGGCTTCATTTATTCTCGTGCCAAACTGGTGCCTCAGTTTACAAAATACAGCGGCAGCCACTACCATTCCATGAAACGCAGCCACCTCCCTCCTTCTCTTTCCCTACTTTCTTCCTTCTACAAAGCACAGGCACCTTCTCCTCATCGTTTACCAGCACTCCTCTCTCTCCTTTCTCCTCCTACAGCACTTCGTCCTCACCACAGAAACAGCTGGACCCTGGGGTGGAGTGCGAGCCGTGTTCTGATTGGTCAGGAGTGGATAGGGAGTTTCCCCTCTGAGACCCAGCCTCTGCTGTAGCTGTCGGCTGCTTTTGTTTATGAGTTTAACACACTGGTCTGGTGCCCTAGTCACCTTCCCACCTGTCTGTAATATGACTGCTACCAATAACTAGTTACACTTACTCAGTTGCCCTTATTTAAGTACAATTTTGATGGGTTTATACTTCTCTGAATGTTCACAAATGATACAATTTGTACTCAGTTCCACTTTCGCCATTCACATTTAGTTCCTACTTCTTTTTTTGGGTTTAATTGAGTAGTTTTATATTGTATTATTTGTTCTACTGAGGTTTCCAGCTGTTTTTTGCATTTAATTAATCATTTATTTGACCATCTATTTCATTACTTTGGGAATTTTTTATTTGTATTTTTAACTGTTATTTTTAGAATTTGTTTTTTATTCCTATCCCTTTTTTATATTTATTTCTTGTTTAATTTTATTTATTTGTTACATTTCTGTTTTCTCCTCATGTTATTATGTAAAACCCTTGTTTTCAATCACTTGTTCTCAATGTATAAAGGTGCTATATAAATAAAGCTATTATTATTATTATTATTATTATTATGATTAATTTCATTCTATTGTGTTGGTTCTGCTTCTGACTGCTTTACTGCTGCCCACACTTCTCATTTTGGTGCTTTAGCATTTTATTTTAGACCAAAAGGATCCCATTAAGAGAAGAATACAGTTTAAAGAAATTAGTTTCTATGCTGATTGATGCTGGATGTACTAGAAGTTGTTCCCATGCAGTTCTCTATGGCACTTGGTTCTCAGGGTTTTTTAACCTAAGTTACTTTGTTTGCTAGATCACTTAAAGTAATAAGTTCAATAAGACAAAGTGCTACAGCTGCTTTCTCACCATTCCACCACTGGCACCATCTCATCATCCGGCTGGTTTCCCACCACATGGTCGATGAACTCCAGCTTGCTATTCGGCCTTAAAAAATAAATAAATAAATAAATAAATAAATAAAACAAATCACCCGTTCAGAAAGCGGTATTTTTGCAAAGATCTGTATAAAGGAGGGGCATTCATTAGCAAAAGACAGAGACAACCACTGCTGAGTGACAATGCTCTGTTGATTTATACTGATTTATGTTAAGTATTTAACCCTTCTCACTCACAGCTGATCCAAAAGAGGATCACGAAACAGAGGAGTGTGGAACCCAGGTAGAAAAAGTCCAGTATAGCCCTCCCTCTCCACCAGCGTGTGGGTAGTGTCCCCATACTGAAAAAAGAGGAACATGAGAAACCAGATGTTTAAATAAGACAACAAATGCAAAGAGAAATCAGAGCAGAGCAGTGGTGGTGATAAAAACCTACAAGGACTGATTATGTTAATATAACAATACACAAACAGATTGCATTTGTTATCATTTAAAATCCCAAAAGGCCCAAGTTTGGGCCAATTATTTACTTTCATAACTACATAACGTATGGTCTATTCATAGTACTTACTGAACAATAAGCTTTAGGATTGATAACTGAATAATAAGTGGAGTTTTCAAGTATTTATTGACTTGTTTTCAAAAACATTTGTGCATACGTTGAAACTTCTAATGGTCTTTCATTTTTGTCCATGAAGACATAGCACTTACTGTCTGCAGCACCGCCAGTTTCACCTTGCCAAACTTGTCCTCTAGGACACGAGGTTCCTTGACGATGACAGCACCTCGTTCCCTGGCTTTCTGCATAATCACACACACAAAGACACCGGCACGCTAAAAATGCTGGCTTGCTTCTGTGGTGTGGGTTACATTTCTGTGCAATTTCTCATTTTTGCACAGTGATTCCTAAGCTGTGTCCATCAACACAAATCAGAGTTTCAACCAACAAGAGCCGAGAGACGTCAGTCTGAACACAGCTGTGATGTGGAGCATGTTATAATGTGTAAATACTCAAGTCTAAATGTATAAAGACAATAAACATGAATTAAACAGAACTGAAAGTCAGTTCCGAAGTAAGGTGAAGCAGAAAGACCTGCACACAAACTGAAATGCTTACCTGCACCAGGAAATCACAGTCCTGTACAGTGAAGGCAACATCTTTGACCCCATCTCCATGTTTCACCAGGTGTTCCCCCATCTCTGATCAGACATTTTTATTAGAAAAAGGTCAATTTCACTAACAGCCAACTCACAAAGCTTAAATGACCTATCCATGCATTCTTGTGTAGAACTGTTGCTAGGTTGGACCAGTACTGTCAAAAATCTCATTCTGTCTACTGAGAAATTGTAGTGGACAATACTTGTCCTCTAGGTTTAGGGCCCCCAAATGTTCAGGAACAGCTCTGGGTGGCCGTATATATATACGGTTTAGATGATGTGTGTGTGTGTGTGTGTGTGTGTGTGTGTAAAATATTGCTGTATCTATGCACTGTAGCAAACTTGACTAATGTCAGCTTGATTATACTACCAAAAATCTACACACACTTTTATCTAAATGTGTGACCAATCATAGCCATACAAAATACATATCATTTACACTAATAATGCTCTCTAAACAGAGGTATTTTTGCAAATGTTCTGTAATGCTTGTCCAACAATGCAACAGCTGCCTTTGTGGGTGGAACATGCTTAGTCCAAACTTGTACTTACCTTTGTTACCAGGATTCAGGGCAGAGGAAAAGACATAAATAATCTACAGTGAAAAAAGAGAACAGATTAATTCTTTCCACACACGGTTACCCGAAAAATACCAACACTGAAACGACTGAACCAGGCTAAAGGGAAAGCATCCTCACCTTTCCCTGCTTGACCGCATGGGAGACCACATCGCGGCTGCCTGTTTCCAGTCCGCGGTACGCCAGCGGCTCGAAACCCAGTTTATTACAGTAATATGAAGCTGCCTGTGACACAAAACAAAACACAGCAGAGTCTGGAATCAATGTTTTTTTAATATTGTATAACCAATCTTGTTGCTCATACATGCATAAAATGACTTAAATATTCGAGAACTCCACAGGTTTCAAATAAATGTAAAACATAACTAATGCTAGATGTGTGCAGAATGAAGAACAGATCTGTAGATGACTCTAAAATGACTGAGAAAGCTGTACAACATCAAGAGTGAATTTCTAATGAAATTACTATCCAGACTGACTCATATTTCAAATGTGGTCAAATCTCAAGGCAGTCTCAAAAATTACTATAAACAGATAATTACAGTATTATTTGCCATTTAAACACTTCTTACTGATCCCAAAAAACTTGAAATACTGAATAAAACATGTAAAGAAAAACTCCTGGTGTACAGTCCATAACATTTAAATCTTCACTGTATCAGTTATTATTAAACAAAACAGCAGCAATTACTAATTTGTCATCTTATTCCATTTTTTTCCAAAGATGGTCCTTCAAGGGTTCTTTAGTAAAGACAATGTTTCTAAACAGAACCCTGAACACTGAAAGAACCATTTGCGTGCTTAAAGGGCTCTTTGCATGGTAAAATGGTTCTTCAGATTGATTCCTCTATTGTTACAAGTTTGACATCATAAGCAGAACCCTTTTGATGCCATGTAGAACCATTTTAAAAAAGATTCTATATAGAACCATATACAACACATTCTCTATCATTCTGAATAATCTTTTCTCCAACCCTTTAAGCATGAAGATGGTTCTTTGAGTGTTCATAGTTCTATATGGAACCACTTTCTTCAGTAAAGAACCGGCAAAGAACCATCTTTTTAAGAGTGTATAATAGTGTGTAAATACAAATACTTAATAATACATAATAAATAATACAAAATCTTTGCATGCTTGCAACTCCAGGCTGATTGCTTATATGCATAAAGGTTTTCACCACCAAATGGCCAATGCACTAGTACAGACATTTCTCAAACAGCAGACAGCAAGATTAAGGAGATAGCACCCCCATGTGGTCAATGGAACAGAGAGCCAGAGAAAAGCTCCAATATGGATCAAATTAGTGAGAGGATGGTGTTCTGTGGCTGCATCTTTGTTTCCTCCACCCCTCAAGAGAGCCAATAGCATCCTTCTCTGCAGAAACTCCTCTAAGGTTCAATGAGTTTAAGGCATGAATGAGGTAGATGTAGACAAAAATGGCTAAAAAATAGAAAATAAGCCCACCTGTTTGGCATTCCCCACCCAGAAAGTGATATGGTCAAAGCATATGAACCTGCCCTGCTCGTGCTGATGGGAGAAAATGAAGTAAATTAGTAAAAGAATAGAATTAGAGGTGTAAATAAACATAAGTAAAAAAAAGCAAGCGTCTTAAAATAACACTAGCCTTATTATATATTATTTATTTTATATTGAGACAGTTATTGACTTATACTTAACTAAGCTACATGGCTGTCATTAAAATAAGCAGGGGAATAATTAATTGTAATAGACTTATTATTACAAATCTAAGACATTTTACCGAGAGAGGATGCAGTTTCTGAGACACATACCTTTTCACCTTTGTCTGTGTAAGTTGTCTAAAAGAGGGTAGAGAAAATGTGATGAGTTGCTGATTGCAGATTTGAAAATAATGAACCATCTGAAAATGAAGAATATACTCAACTCAAAGCTGAATAAATAAGTCTTACCATGTTGATGTCTTGCGGCTGCTTTTTTGAGGCAGAATGTTGGTCTGGTCCAGAATTTAAAGAGCAGGAACAGCTAGGGGGTGTCTCCCCACCCACCGGATGCATGCAGTGGGTTACTGGTGGTGTTATGTAATGTGTCTTAATGAACACAGCTGAAAGTCATGGCTGAAGTCTGGTAAAACCATCTAACAGATAGTACCTGAAGCAGCCACTAAGGAATACCTCATCCAAAAGTAATGTATTAATGTAACTTTACTGAAAAGTGTTCCTCTTAGTTTTAATTGACACAAGGCCTAATGGATCACACATGAAATTTACAGACTACACAGGTTTCCTGTGAGCAGCTGCAGAATACACATTTCCAAAAGTCAAAAAGACACCTGAATACAGCACAGATTGATAAAATGAGACTTGTTAAAGAAATATTCCAGCATTTTTCAACTCTATCTGCCGCATCTGAAGCATATGGTCACAACAAAACACCCATATAGCCCTGCATAGAATATACAGTACTGTGCAAATGTCAGAGGCCAGCCTCCATTTTGAATGTTTGGTCAAAATTATTTTTTAGGAGACATTTCTGAGGAGACCAGATATAAGATAATTCACTTGCATAACGGAGGGAAAAAAACACACAGTTAAATGAGTTAGGTTTCCAAAACCCGAGTTAAAAAAAATTCTTAAGGAAATCGGGGGTCCTAACAACCGTGCAAGACCTAGTAGACCACCAAAACGGCCACCATCCAATAAAAAGTACTTAATGTTTTCATCTTTTCAACTCGACACTATGAGTCTGAAAGGATGTGTAGCTGTCATGAAGCCCCTTATTAAGAAAATAAAATAGACAAAAAAAATAAATCAATCAAAGAATCTGCTGGTGTTCTCAGAACAAGGGACTGACCAGCCCAGAGTCCAGACCTCAATCAAACATCGTTGAATGTGTTTGAGATCGTGAGAAACAGAAAATGCAACCAACCTCTAGGACCAAACTTCGGAGGTGTGAAAATATCCCTGCAGATTTCTTAAAAACTGAAAACAAAGTTTCCCAAAAAGAATGGAAACTGTAATAAAGGTAAGGAGTGGACGCAATTATAATTATTTGTATTTTCTGATATATATTTTCTGACAATGAAAAATGAATAACTTGTACTTAAAGGTCATTCTGACCAGAAATTAAGTAAATGGATGGTGGCCGCTGACTTTTGCAGTCCTATATGTATCTTCATGGAATATGAAATTATATTGAATAAGGAACTTTTTTCCCTAGGTCTGAAACAGCTACTACCTCTAAACATTTTTAGTAATGTAGGAACATTGATTGACTTTAAAAAAAAATAAAAATCAACAACAACTACAAAACTATTTTTTGTGTTCAGCATAACTGAATCAGAAAAGAAAACTCTATACAACATTTATACAACCTATACAAGTCTAATTAGGGCATTTTTACAGCTCTGTACAGCTGTTTGTGCCTCTGGAGTGCACAGGAGGTGGAGGAGTGATTCTCGTCTCTTATTGGCCAGCTGCTACTGTGGGCCTGCATTTTCATCTATACTGTCCTGCACTGCATCGTGTGTGAGCTGGAGACCTACAGCTTATTTATATTTTACTAGAGACAATTATGATATCCTATTATCCATTATGCTGTTAATGTATAAAGCACCCAACCTTTAGGCATATTGCATATTAAGTGACCACTCAATTGGCCAATTCAGAATACTTTAACTAACCACTCATCTTCCAATACACACATTCTTCTATTTTGAATCTTGTTATTTATCATTTGCGAGGCAAATGTTGCACAGGTTATTTGTAATAAGAAGCTTGGAGTCCTTTATGGTGCTTCATGGGTTGCTAGAAAATGCAAAGTCATTCTGAAACCCATGATCCAAACTCCTCCCAATCACACCACTCTCCACTACAATATGCAACGTTTGCAACATTCAGGCAATATATACTAGTAAACACTCTCAATCTTTCTCTGGCATTCTGTTCTGTCTACTCTCTCTCTCTCTATACTGTAATTCCCAAATGAGTTGTCTCACAAAACGTCCACATGCACCGTGGGACTTCATTATGAGCGGTTAAGTAATGAGTTCTCACTCTGGTGTGCTGTAACTGTAGAGAATGGATTTGCGTCTGCATTAGTGATCTGAGCATCCCTCTGGATAAGGGCAGTTCATGCCTGCTATCGAGAAAAAAATAAGCTGTGTCTCTATACGATATGGAAATGGGCTGTTTTTATGTTTAATTTTTTAAATTGAATGTATGCATTTAATGTCTACATTAATTTTACATGTATTCTAGAATGTTTTTAGGCATAAAAGGTAATATATATATATATTGAAATATATCATTGTGACTGGAATGTAATTTGGAAAGAAAGACTACAAACTTGAAATGTATTTAACACACCAAAAAATGTACACTAAGATGTTTACTGATGGCCACCCAAGTATATATTGTCCAATTTTAACAATATCTGATTTACATTTCATCCTATTTTTACAAATGATACTGTTACAAATACACAAAGACACACAGTGTCTGTGGTCATTTCCACAACTTAAATCTTTACTTTAACTAAGTCTATAAGGTAAAGTCTAAAAACAAACAAAAAAGGTTGAACATTCTCTTATTTGATGTCTTAAATTGAATACTCAATTAAGTAAACTAATGAAAAGATGACTTCAAATATCCTAAATGAAATAATATGCCTCCGAGGTTGTATTCAGACCTGTGGGAAACACTTGGTTCACTATTTGGGGAAAAAATAGACATTATTACAATGATGACAGAAATCTTCATACTACATGTGGCCATCGCAAAAATAATGGGTGGTGATGTAGTGAAGTAGCAGGACAATGTAAGCATTACATACTTATGTATCCCATGAGTCCAAATCCACAGACACAATGTGTACAACAAGTTGGCTGTATCTAATATTTACACATGCATGTATGTGCATGCGCTTGGGGAACAAGTTTTAAAGAGCATGTGATAAGGGTGTATTTCCCTGGAGCAGAGTGTAAGAGGTGCAAAAAAGTGTTGATTGGGTGGTGGCACCTCTAAAGGGAATTAAGCCTTGCCAGTCTCTGAGGTCTACATTGTCATCAAGATACATCAACATAGAAAAAATAGAGAACAACCAAGAGAACACGAAGGAGAAAAGAGCACAAGAACAGATGACAAAAGACCAGAGAAAAAGGTGGTTGCAGTAGCTGCAGTTTGGTCAAAACTGAGCTATGACCAACATCATGTGTCTGAGGAGCAGCACAGAAAACAGGGTGTGAGAACTGCTGGAACAGATTTGGCTGGACAAGAACTTTAAAACTTTTGGAATAGCATTTGTAGGGCAGCATAAGTAGAGCTAGAAACTCCCAGCACCAAAGTAGCATGAGTGAGCAGCTGGAAGGAGACACAACCAGCCCTCAGGAAAGGTTCAGGGAAGATGGTGAAGGAGAGGAGAAAACCATGGAACAGGGGGCAGAACAAATGGCCTTCAAAGGCGACATGTGGCAGGAGGAGAAGAAAGAAGCTCATGCAGAGTATCCGGAGTCCCCAGCCAAAGGTGGGTAGACTAAGCCTATACTCAGATAAAATGTTTGGTGTTTTAATGCAATACGAGTAGTGAAGTATCAGATTCAAGAACTTATTAATACATTCAGCATCTATCACAATAGCACCTGAGGTTTGTTAGGCCAAAGCTCCAAACCAGAGAAATAAAATGAAATTAAGGTACTAAATGTTAATGGCTGAAGTTGAGGAAAACGTAACTCACTTTCCTCAATCACAATTACCCTCACTGGCCACTTTATCAGAAACCCCTCTCTTGTAGCTACACCTTGTGTGTACAGTTAGAGACTGTAGCTCCATGATGCACAAGCTGTGTTAGCTCTTCAGGTTAAGGGCTTCAGCTATGCTGTATCTTAATCGGTGGTCAGTTTCTGACCACAGAGTCGTTCTTGGCTTGATATTTTCAGGTGGTCACAGCATTCTACTCTTAACATACTAGTGACGCTGATGTGTGAACAAATCACAGCAACACCACTGTGGTGATACATTCTGAGAATGGCCCACCATACAAATAATACTGGTCAACAGTGGTCTTTTGGTCAGAAACTGAACCATGATGAATGGGCTTAGGAGGGCTGATAAATTCAGCAACAGATAAAATACAGCCTGTAAATACAAGCTATAAGGTACATAGAGCTCATAAAGTAGCCAATGAGCAGTAGCTAAAGCAAAAACATGAAAGGGGGAACTTCAAATTGAAATTCATGTGTAACAGAGTTAATATGACCTTTACTGCTCCTCTCTGTTTCTAGCTGAGGTCAAGCAGGCAAAGGTCCACTCAGTTTTCTCTCTGGTCAGGAGTCAGATCCGCGCTCAAACCAGTTTGGACACCCGGCGAACAGGCATGTTGCAGCTGGTGCAGCGGGTCACCAGGCAACTGGACCGGAGCAAAGGTGATGCGGGTGAGCCTGTAACAGGCCATGAGGTCGCCTCGGCTGAAGAGGAGGTCGCCACAGCCCTGGAGGCTGAGGAAGAGACTATGGAGATCAAAGAGGATCACGAAACACAGGAGAAGAGCAAAGAGGAGGTGTGTGTGGCCCTGCTCCAGGAAGTGCTGGATAGTCTGGAATCCATGAGAAAGGAAGTCAGAGAGGAGCTGAGTTTATTAAAGCTGGAGTCACAAAGCAGCACAGAAGAGGCGCTGAAAAACCTGGAGGCACGACTCACACAAACATTAACAACACACATGATGCCCCAGGCCCGCTCCAGATCCCACCTGGCTGGACCAGTGGATGGGAAAAAACACAAACCCCTCTCCGTTCCGCCTCTTGTAGCAAGTAGAAGGCGCACTCTAAACCGCACGATGACCACCATCACTCCGAAAAGCTGCCCCCCGCCTACCCTCGGCCCGCGCTCTATGTCAGAGCCCCTGGGAGGTCGAGTGGCTGAGAGAGCTGGCAGCAGCGGCAGTAGTACACATACGTTCCTGAGGGGAGGAGACCCTATAGGGCCACTTCTGGGACCCCTGGGGCCTTTACCTCCAGCGCTACCTCCAACACAGTACAGTAAAAAGCCTCTGGGCAGTAAGAATCGAGTAAGTAAGGTGGCAATTTAGCCAAAATCATAAACAGACAAATCGATTTCAGAACTTATTCTGCAGAGAATGTCTTTAGCTATATACTGAATGAAGATTTGTAATGATGGTATTAAAGCGATTTTGGCAAAAAATCTTATTTACACAATCTTCCCCATATCATAAACATGGTCAATCAGCAAATACATATTTGGGTACATGTTTGGGGTCCAATGTTTGCTTCTTTTGTTCTGCACTGCAGTTACATGGCTAATCTAAATAACAAGTAATGGAAGCTTCTACCCCACTGATTAGCACTGTGCAAAGTGCATGCACCACACATGCCACAAATCACACTGTCTGGTCCAAGGCACAGACACAATTCATGCTTCAAGATGGCTGGTGCTATGATTTTTAGCTATTTGCAGTGCTTTTGCCAATTTTTGCAAATAACATTGTCATATAGCGTCAAAACCCACATAAGCAAGTCTATTTGAAATGACTTAACAACTCATTCTGGTTTGAGGCAGTCTGTGATGATTCAGAAATGCCGTATACACAATCTAACTGGTGTACATAAACTTCCATTACTTATTTACTATATTAGCCTCACAGCACCAGTGCCAAACTTGCTACACCAAACATGTCTTAGCTGATTGAGTATGTGTAACGTAAGGAGGGAAAATCATGCAAATCTGATTTTTCACCAATCTATGTCTTTAAAGGACGCTGACTGTAAGCTGTTGGTGACAGAAATCACATTGGGATTCCAATGCAAAATCTTTACTATTACATTTATTTTATGAAACATTGTACAGTCAAACAGAGATGAGCCTGGCTACACTGAAGGACATCTACCAGAGAGATGACCAGAGTGATGGTAGAACTGTTCTAAAGTCACAAGGGGCGCTAGTTATGTGCACTGGTTCAGAGAAATGTTCTGTAACCGAACATGAAAAATGAAAATTTCTAAAATACATATCTGAATTATAGAACTTGCTACGTATAATGTTTCTAGAATTGCTTACTGCTTGATATAGACTTCAATTTGTTTGTTACTTTTATATTTTCATATGTTACTTTATGACTTAAGGAACTTCACATATTGTGTGTAGTGAAGTTTTTATTATAGTCCCAACTTCATTATTGTAGAAATTCTGTGAACTGCAATAAATGTTTATTAATTTAGCAGATCCATTTCCATTCCATTAATATTTAAAATTTACATCAAAAGAAAACTGCTGTCCTCTATTTAATCCCAGCATGTTTTTTTTTCAAAGCAGACCTAAACAGGATTAGGGATTTAAAAATGATCAAGAGAAAATTAACTGAACATACTGTAGAAACAACAAACATGGAAACAAACCCAGAAGATATATGGTAGATGTGTGTTTAAGCCTTGCAGAGGAGAATGAAGAGGGAGATGAATACTGGATAAAGACTGGAAAACGTGCATTGGGTCTGAGCATCTCCTCTGGATTTGGGAACAGTAGCATTAGGAGAAGCAAAGACTGGGCGCATGAAGCTGGACTGGATGAGACGAAAGTTCTCTACTAGCTTACTTGTTTTTTTGGATTACTTATGTTTTTAAAGCCATTTGTTTGAACAAAGGTGAGAAAAATAAATTTAACAAGACATCTTTGGCTTAACACAAGGTAAAGAGGAAAAGTGCACTGTTTAAGGAAACAAAATGCAGAAGCTAGGCACAAAATAACATTATTTCATATAGACCGTTAATTTACAGAATTGTCGGTGCTTTATTTATGTGTGTTATGGTATTTTGCACACCAGTCTCCACTGATATCCATAAATCTAATGGCTAAAGCACTTCATTTAAAATCAACTAGATTTTAATAATTTAACTGTTTAGGTACACTGCGCTCACTTACACAAACTAGTACTTAATTCTAAGTAGGTTACTCAGTGTGGTATTGGACTTGGTATCAGCAAGTACTAAAAATGATGCACACGTACTCAGTTTGGAAAAAAAAAAATGGTATCGATGCATCCCTAATACCCTCTACAGAAAAGAAACCTTTGCACTTTTTAATGCACAATTATTGTTTTGCTGCTAAATTTAACACAGTGGGAAAATATGTGGCCTCAAAATTACAGCCATTTTATATTTTATTTTTATTTTTTTTTCCCAATATGTTAAACTCAGCAAATAAATAGTAATTGTGCACTAATATTTGCAGAACGCCATAACATGTAGAAGACGTGTTAATGTATAAAACGTAATTAAACAAGTGGTGTTCAAACATTTGTCTATAACTGTATGTGTGCATATGTGTGTATTTTTGTTTACCTGGTTTCTGGATATGAAGAGGCTTTTCCAACACAACCCAGGACACTGTCGGAAGGCAGGGCGGAGTGGTTTGGCCTCTACTGTACTGATAAAACTGCAAGATGTCAGCTGGCATTAGGTCAATCAGCGCTGGTGGAGTTACGTTCACCAAGTCCCCTAGAAAACAACACAGCAGTACAAAGACAGCTAAAAGATGTGTATTTGCAACTTCAAAGAGGTTTACGTGTGCTTGCAAACCTGGCTAAGACAAGCTGGACATGGTATCTGATATGACCTTAAAAGGCAGATTCTCCGTGTCACCAATCTGAAAACAGAGCATGTTTTCAGACATAAACCATCATACAAACCATAAAACACCACTACAGCTCTAGAAAGACCTTTCATCTTCAACAATGTATAAAGAGCTTGTTATTTCCATATACCATCTCTTTGCTACATGATTCAGGGTCTTTTTTTTATTCTAACTGAATCTTGTGTACTCGTCCTGTCCAATTAAATTCTGTCTTAAATTCTGTCCTTGGTGTGTTTGAGTGTGTCCATTTGTTATTGTGAAAAAACATAAATAAATATATCACTGTTAGCAAAAAAGCCCTTTCATCGTTACAAATGGTGTTCTACCTATTCCCCGCTCTTATGTATCTGTATGTATCTTTATAGTCACTGTTGTAACTAAACCTTATATCTTTTATGACCTGCAGTGTTAAACAGATCCTTAGTGTTTAATTCTTAGCTTTTAATGTAATGCTAACGTAGTGACTGTCATTAGAAAAACTTGAAAATATTGCTGTTACATCATGAATAAGCTTGACTTGGTATGTGAAGCTGTCCACACATCAGCAAATCCAAGAACCACGCCCACTATTTTGCATCTGTTAACAAAAATGTGTTCAAGCAGCATACAGATCTGATTCGTTTTACTTGAACTTTTTTGGAAAACGGTAAGTTATCTTCGTGGATTACCGTTAACGTTAGCTACCTAGCTAACTAAGCTAATGTTAGCTAGCTAGCTACTCAGCTACCTTTAGTAACTACGCGTCTTTATAACCGACTGTTTTCTTTGAGCTGAAAACTGCCAGCCAAAGTCAGACTCGATTAAACAGCATAACTAAGTGTTGCTTTCAAAAGTGATAAGAATAACAACCCAACAAAGTCATTCTAACAGTCTCACGTAAGATATTCAGAGAAGTGTCACTAGCAAGTTAACTAACTTAGCTCGGAGTATACAACGTAATTTAGGAGGCGAAGATTGTCGAAATATGACGAAGATTTCCGAGTCCCTTTCCGGCAGGAAAATCCAGAGGAATCCAAGCGATAGAGCCGTGAGACTGCAATTTAGCACTTAAAGGGGAAATACACCCGTTTTTATTTTTACATAATTCAGTGGTTCAGATGTGAACAAAAGCATTCAGCGTGGTTTGGTGTGAAATGGTTAATTGCAGAGTCAGATTTGTTCTTTACAGTAATGGTGACAGCAACCAAATACAGCCAATTTATTTACTATCCAAAACCACGTGAACCTACACGTGCCTTTTGAGTTTTTATGTGTAATGTTAAAGGTGGTATAAAATAATTCAGATTTTTCATTTTTAGCCATAAATCTGAAAATAATCAGGACTACTTTGCCGCACAACACCCTGCATGTACCCCTCCGCCATGCCAAAGGTATTAAAGGGATCAATATACGTTTTAAGCCAAAACTTTATTACAAAACTATCATAAACAATGTCTCAAACATCAGGCAGTGTTTTCATAATCATTTCATGTAATAACATTCTGTGAGGGAGCTTTCAGAGGCATTAAAACTCCTCAGATGTCTGGTTCCTATCACCACCAATGTGAACAATTCTGACTCTGCAAGCTTCTCTAAAATGGAGCATTTCACATCAAACCACTCAATTACTTTGTTTACCAACCATCTAATTATGTAGACTTTTTGAAAAATCTCCTTAACAAATCCAATTCAACTCATCAGTAACTCCTCACTGCAACTCATCATTACAGCCATGTAACATCTGTAACACAATAATCTGGTATGTTATTGTGTATTACCTGATGTATTATTTATTATTGGCATCCCTGCTGTAGAGATTTCTGTACACATAACACTCATTCATGACATGTAACCGATAAAAATTTGTTTGGGGTGTTCTTCTTTTTTACTAGGGCAACTGCAGAGGTCTTTGTAGAGTTCACTTTACTCAATAAAGCTGCTGCATAGACCACAGCAGAGATCCACAGCAGAATAAGAGGAACTATATTGTGACTGAAATCTACAACAAAATAACGTTTTTTCAGGACCACAAGGGCAACATATAAGACCGTGACATGGCATACACAGAATATTCAATACCCTAATTTTCTATACAATACATGCTCATTACCTGACTCTCAACCTAATAACAAAACCTAACAATAGACTACAATGGCCTTCAATAAGTTAAGAAACCAAATAACGTCTAAGAAAAGTGACTAGTGCACAAGTTTACAGTCATTAGCTGCACAAATTACATATATATGCAAAGTTATAGCAGCAAAACATTAACTTTTGCAATATCACAGCATAGTTTAAGTGAGGGATGGCCCATGAAATAGAGCAGCATTTTTGCTGGTGTGAGAGGGGACGTAACCCCTCACGCTAATACTGATCAGCCAATCATAGAGAGTTACACAGCACCCAACAGCCAATCAGAGTTACATGGCATACAGCAGCCAATCAGAGAAGTACCGTTTAACTGTATTTTATGTATCACAAATAAATTTTTTGTTTTAAAAAAATAAGAAACTGGAACAAGCACACAACAAATTTGTCATTTTAGTCCTGAAGGGGAGAAAAACTGAATTAAATGTAATTAAACGATCAATTTAGATTTTGCTTTGTTTATTAAGATATGATGTCATGCGAAAACAACATTTAGAACTTTTAACACAGCATCATTTGCAAACATGTCACACTTTCCCATAACGGCCAGCATTAAAATATGAATTCTACTCCTCTATAACATTACAAAAAAAAAAACTACTTTTTTCCTAAATGAAGAGCTTATGTTTTAATAATTCTGCTATGATGTTAAAATGTAACATAAAACAACAAAAACTTAATGAAAACAAACAATGAACTTTCTAAACAGCAGAACAGTTATAATGACAAACTGAAATTAGTACCACTTAGATAACTATAAGAGGCAGACAGGCTTTAACATAGGCTGAATACTTTCCTAGTTCTAACAATACTTCAGTTCTACTGCTTTCACTACTACTGAGCTTAATAGAGATATGAACTCAAACAAAATTGAACAAGTTTAGAGTCTTTAGGGGGAAAAATCAGGCAAAAATAAGGCACCTTCTTCTATAACACTTCTTCCCATTGCTAATCCAGGTGGGTCTGTGCACCGTTCTAAAACCTGCTTGGTTATTTCTTAATTTGGAGTAATTTAAATCAGAGTATGGTGCCATGAATAATGACTTAGGAAGGGTCATTCTCAAGAGCATTCACACAGGTTATATCTATAAGATTATCTCTATTTTTTATAAACATTCCTTAGTCAGTTATCTTTGGTCAGGTGTATTTTCCACCCTGTGATATGTTTACATTTCCATATTGTTTAACTATTAAGCAGCAAGCTGTACTGCCTTAAGCCTGCAGTAACAGAACAGAGGTAAAGTTAATTCAGCATAAATATTCCTATACGTACACATAAGGCAATGGTTGCTCTATTACTGATGCTCCAATAATGCCCTTTCCTTGTTTCTGTGTTTAGGCCACCTTGAAGATAAACTGCAGCAGGCAGTAGAGGATGATGAGGGGGATGAAGACTGCATGCTGGCTCTGGGTGGCTCCTCTCGCCGAGTGGATTTTTACAGCAGTAGAGACAAAAATTTGGTGCTTGGAGCTGGACTGGATGGGACGATAGTTCTCCACTAGTAATTTCTTCTCAGGGCTGTTTTTATCAGAGTAATACAGATGAGTGGCAAAGCTCAAATACTGAAAAAGGGGGAGAGAGAGAGAGAGAGAGAGAGAGAAAAACTGTAATATGGAGCCTGTGGTGTTTGCTATGTCTCTATATAATGTCACTGTCAGAGTAAAACCATATATGACTTTACACTGTCTATAAATGTAAGCTACTTTTTACATTGTGCAAACATTTCATGATAACTGGACCAGTTGAAATGGCATAAAATTACTTCTAATAAAATCTTGCTACATTTATTTAAGGGCCCATAATCCTGCATTTTTCTTGCATTTCAGATTTTTGTGTGGTTTTATGGACCAGAAACAGCCATGAGTTTTTTCATGACCATTTTCCCACCTCTCTTGGAACTGAACAGTTTTTTTTGTTACTGTGCTCTTAAGACCAACACATATAAATGACATCTGTTTCTATTGGCTGTCATCAATTTAAATCAAAAAGGAGCCCAGGCAGAAACACTCTTTATAACTTCAGCGTGAATGGGTGGGGCTAAACTGCTGTAGTCAGACTAGAAAGACATTTAAAATGCATTGGGGTCATTCTACAGAAGCGTCCATTTTTGTGTCCCTAGCGTTTACAGATATATTACACTTGAAAAACATGTTAGGATTACAATTTATGTGAATTAAATTACATAAAGAAAACAAATGCCAAATAAATATTATAAAATAAATAATGAAAGTTGTTGCCCCCAGGAGTCGTGTCACTGGTGTTACTGTGTAACAAAAATCTCTTATTTTGAAATTATAATCGGACTGGTGACATCACTTCCTTGTACCTATTTTCTGAAGACCTATAAAGAAAAGCACAAGGTGAGTCCACTGTGTCTTTTCAGTTATGAGAAATTTTCACATTTAGCTCATGATTTCATGTGAAGCTTTTAGTTGAAGTCACTGGTGTGACCGACTTTATTCTTAGGTCATTGTGAAAAAAAAGAATACAAATGGATTAAATTACATATTTTAGTTGATATTCCATGATTGACAACATGTGGTTTGATGCTCAATAGCAGCTATTTCGTAAACTGCATTTTTCATTAAAATGTTACTGGTGTTACAGTCACTGGTGTTACCTTTCTTATGTGTAACACCAGTGAGGACTGGTAACACCAGTGACACCTATGGACAGATAGAGAAGTGGACGTTTCTGCAGAATGACCTATTGGTTTTCATGACATCATAATAGTGAAATCAAAACAGACTAGATTGTATGGACTGGAGAGTAAACAGTACGCTTTGAAGCTTTAACAGTGTTTACATACTACATCAAACTTTTTTAATTTAAAAAAAGGAGAGGAAAATTAGTTTTCCATGATATGAGCCCTTATGAGTTTATCATTAAAGTTAAAGAATATTTTCTCAGAGCCTGTTCACACCTTGCTTTAACATTTGTTCAGTGTCCAGATCAGACCAGCTAGATAGCTAGATAGACAGATAGATAAATGATTTTGATCCCGCAGGGAAATTGCAGTGTTACAGTAGCAAGACATATAATTGCATATAAACATTATGCAGAAATAAAAACAGACATAAATCAGGTAAAATTAAAAAAAAAATAAATGTAAGTTAGAGTGAAGTATGAGACAGTAGAAATAGAAGTATGTCTATTTGCATATTCACATAGCATATAAGACAGATTTGTTGCATTTACATGGAAGCAGGGATTGCACTAAGTGGTATGAGGTATCTGGACAAACTCTGCACTTTTCACTAAAATGTCCCAATGAGATCTGATTGGATTTTTTCAGCATAAAAAGCATGTCAACACGTACACATCGTCTCTGTCTGAATGTGGTTTGCGTGATCAGATAGATAGACGGACGAACAGATGGACAGACAGACGGACGGATGGACAGATAGACGGATGGATGGACGGACAGATGGACGGATGGATGGACAGATAGATAATTTATTGATCCTGAAGGGAAATTGCAGTGTTACAGTAGCAAGACATATAACTGCACATAAACATTAAATATATTACGCAGAAATAAAAATAGAAGTACAAATAGACATAAATCAGGCATAAATAAAATCAAGATATTGAAAACGCATTCCGTTTACACTTGTGTTAAATGCAGTCAAGATCCATCTCTGACCACCTCTGAATGTGGTTTGAGTGATCCAATCATAATCCATTCACTATGTGTCCTGGGGGTGTTTACACCTGGTTTATCATGCAATCAAGTGAAATCCAAACATGACCCGATCACCAAAAACGCATGTTAATGCATTTCATTAAACATACATTCTTGTTTCGACACTCATTGTTCAGTGTATGAGGTCTACTTACAATATATGTGCACTTGGCAGTTTTACAATTACAGACTGTATGTGCATCTCTGTGTAATCTTTTAGCCCGCTTTCACTCTGTTAATCAATGGTCAGGACCCCCAAAGGACCCCAACAGAGCAGGTACTATTTGGTGGTGGATCATTCTCAGCACTGCAGTAACACTGACGTGGTGGTGGTGTGTTAGTGTGTGTTGCGCTGGTATGAGTGGATCAGACACAGCAGTGCTGCTGGAGTTTTTAAACACCTCAGTGTCACTGCTGGACAAAGAATAGTCTACCAACCAATAATATCCAGCCAACAGTGTCCTGTGGGCAGCGTCCTGTGACCACTGATGAAGGACTAGAGGATGACCAACACAGACTGTGCAGCAGCAGATGAGCTACCGTCTCTGACTTCACATCTACAAGGTGGACCAACAAGGTAGGAGTGTCTAATAGAGGAGACAGGCTTACAGCTGCTTACTACCACCACCTGCTGGACAGAAACCCAGTTAAGCAGAGTTAAATGAAACACGGAACAAAACAGAATCACAAATAAGAGAGCTGGAACAGAATCAGACAAAAATGGATCCAGAAAACTAGGCCTGGAATTAAGCTTAGCACAAACATAGTCTCTGTGCAAATGATCTTTTAAAAATTCTAAATCACTGAACTACATTATATACAATGAACTCTATTTACACAGAGTTGCCAGTTAGGTTAGGGCCACCTATCTTGTACCTTGGCCAATTTATCAAAAACACCTATGATTATACGTGCATGTTATAGGTTTACAGTTACAAACTGTAGCTCATCTGTTGCACCATTTATCAACATTTATCACTGCCTTAAATCTACATTCTGTATGTTTTGGGGATTTGGAGACCTCTCTGGTGAAAACGTGTAACTGCACACAATGTGTAGATTGGATTTTGTATTGCCAGTTGTGCTTCTGACCCCTTCCTTAACTGGACGAATCTGATGACTGCATGAGCATTGAAAGAAAACTCAAAGAGAACTCAGTCAAAACTTGGTGAAGGACGTGTTTTCCAAGGATGTAAGTAAATTATTTACTATTGTCATAATACCTTCATTAATATAATGTTAATTTTGCATTTTGAGACCTGAACATTCTTTTTGAATGGTGATGTTAACATGTAATGACAAGTGATGTGGTCCAGCAAATTCCTACCAAACTGGACCCGATCACCTTATTTTAGGTTCTGCAGTGCACGAGTACCAAAGACAATCGTACATATTGCAGCTGCATGTTCTTACCTGATCTTCGGAGATCAAGATGGGCTTCTCAAACACAATCCATTCCACATTCTGGAGGCAGGGTGGAGTGGTTTGACCTCCCTGGTAGCGATAGAACTTTGAATCTCTACCAGGCATGAGTTTAAACAAGGCTGGTGGAGTGACATTCACTGAATCTCCTGGAAAACATAATAAAATAAATGGATGGTGGGAGGAGAACATAGAATGAAAGTGAATATATATACTACGTTTAAATTACCTGGATATGGCACCTTGGTGACAACATCAGATATGGCCTTAAAAGGCACATTCTCTTCAGCGCCAATCTAAAGACAGAGCACATCGGCAGTTGCAGACACTCTGCAAAACACGGTCACTTTTTTTGCTTCAAAAATAACTCGGAAGTATTCTTCCCCTTTTGCAACTATACTGATGGTATTTAAGTCAAGTGACATTAGCCCTTAAAGGTGAATTCCACCTGTTTTCAAATATTTCTGATGTAAACATCATTTAGAGTGGTTTGATGTGAAATGCTCCATTATAGAGAAAATTGCTGACTCTTAATTGTTCACAGTGATGGTGATAGGAACCAGACATCAGTTTAATGCTTTTAAAAGCTCTCTCATATGGTTATGAATATGCTGCCTGATGCTGAGACCTATTTTTGAGATAATACATAGGTAGATACAGGGTGTTGTCAGGGAAATGGTACCCAAACAAATTTTTTTTTAGACTTGCCTCTATTTAACTCCCATCAATATAAAACTTATCCTCAACTCCAAAGGCACATGTAGGTTCACAGGTGGTCTTACATAGTAAATAAAACTGCTACATTTGCATTGAAGACACCACCTGGTTCCTATCAGTACCACTGTAAAGAAATCAGAGTTGGTAGGTTTCTCTATGAAGCACTATTTCACAACGAATCATTCTGAATAACTTTATTAACATCTTAGTGACTACATTATGCCGAAAGTTTGAAAAATCACGGAATTCCCCTTTAAAGTAAAGTGGACAAGTTGCCCTGGATAGAAGCATCTGTTAATTGGTGTGAATGTAAATTTTTGATGCTGAAAAGAAGTTTCACTACAGAAATGACAAATTTCCCCTTTTAATGTGCACAAGAACCAGTATTGGTACTGGTATCGGAATACAAGCCCAAGCATTACTTTTTAGAATGAAAAGAAGATCATATCGCCAATCCCTACTCACACAAAACACGTTTAGAAAGTCTGTTTTGAGAGTGAACATGTAAAAACGACAAGCAAGCAAGATCTTGAAGTTACATCAATGAAGACTCCCATCATGGCCAGGCCCGACTGCTGATGTGAAGCTGTCTCCACATCCACGAATCCAGGAGCAACACCCACAATCTGCATCTAATAACAAAAACAAAATGTGTTCATTCTCACGTTTACATTGTATATTTAGATAAGTCAGATGAAATCAATGACACAGTGTGAATATGGAACCCTGATAAAGTCAACAGCAAAGTGAGAGTGTATGTTTCTGTGTGTACCTCCATAGGGAACCTGCGCTTGTTGAGAGTGTGTTCTGATCCATTGGTGGTTTTGGACCCCCAGTGGAACCTCATCTCCACAAGCTGATAGTCATATTGTAACCAGTCTCCAGACATAGTCATACCCGTATCAAACTCCACAACAACTAAACACAACAAATAATTGACTTTTTTTTTAGGAGACCCCTGAAACTGTCTTGTCATGCCTTTATTAAGGAACTCCGGGTTTCAGCAGTTTTACTCTAAAGGAAAAATGAATGGCAAAATAGCTGTTATCACTCCCATTACAAACCTCATATGTTTTGCCCTATGCAAACATTTTTTGGTCATTTAGCAGTCAAAATACGAATAATAATACATACATGCTACAAGCATTCTTAAACCTTAACCAAAGTGCATGCATATGGTGCGTCATACCAGTGTCCCGGATGTTAGCCACAGTCCAGGAGGCCTGTGGATCACCAAAGCCATGAAGCTCCAGAACAGAATCAGTCTTCACTGCTCCATCACCGAGGTCAATGGGTGAGTGCAGTTTGGTTTCGTTAGGTACACAGGAAGAAAAGCTTTTCGCCCACATGTACGGATCTGTTGAGAAGACAAAACTGTGACTAGGCGTTGGACGGGCTGGAAACTGGAGAAATCTAAAGACCAGAACGTGTACTGACTTACTGCAGTCATCTTCTTTGTAGCAGTAATTAAGTGTTGAAACTGGAACATAAATTTAGATAGCAGGTTAATTTTTTTTTTCTAGAAAAAGGAACACCTGATAAAAGCCCTGCCTTGGGAATAATGCTCTCTTCAGCACCACCTCTAGGCCAAAAGTCTTACAAAATAGTACTAAAATAAAGTATTAAGAAATAGCTCCATTATTTGCATTGAAGTCTCTGTAGCTACTGAATGATAAACTTTTGTATGTAATATGCCTGATTTGTTAAGGGGTTAGTTAACAAGTTAAGGTTAAAATGAGACATAACTTGGAACTTTCAAATGGAGGAAAAGATGTCCCAAAACTTTTGGCACGCAATATGCTTAAAAGTCTTGACATGTTAGTAACAACTTGCTTTGTTTCAACTGTATTAAGCTGTCTTACATGGAATTGAAAGTCGCCAATCCGAGCAGTGGACAGCATGAGACTGCCTACAAACCGGCCACCTGGACCACATGCATCACAAAACAACAGCATGGATAGTGCTTGTGCTGTAATTTCAGCTATTGTTTTAGATGTTATTTCAAATTTCAAAATATTAAATTTTAAAATTGGGTTATTCTGATGTGATTTATAATTATTTTGGAAAATATAATACATACACAAATGTGACAGGAGGAAGTATTTCTGAAGTAGTAAAAAATACTATAAAAACAATACACCAGGTATTCTTCTAACCCAAAAATTTCAATTCAGCTATTAAAAAGAACCCATAATTTATTATATATCATGATAACAGATAATACATTGCAATGTTCTAAATCACCATAAGATTACCTTCAAACCAACACTTCATGATGCATTTTACATAGATTTTTACATTTGTACACTTTGCCACACAAATTCTGATTGTGCTGGTGCATATAATAAGCGCGCCCATCAATTTTGGCTTTGGTCTTCTACTGGCCAGATGATCATTTCATCCCTGTATGCCTGCCCTGCTGACCTCCATTGTACATTTATTTTCCTGAAGCCTGTCATTGCTCCCAAATACATTCATTCATTCATCTTCCAAGACGCTTATTGTCCTGGGTTGCAAGGGTGCTAGAGCCTATCCCATCACACCCTGGACAGGTCGCCAGAAAGTTAAGAGCCATAAATAAATAAATGAAGAAAGGCAGAAAGAGACACAAGATGAGAGATGACCACTTAGTAAGACTAAACTTGGTGCAGAAAGCATGCATGACATCACTATGGACAAAATAAACACATATGACTTGCAGATTGGACATTTTTATCCATCAAAATGAAAAAAAGAAACAGGCGATTCAGTGCAGTACACACAGTTTTGTATGTCTGACCTGGCTGCCCTCCTGATGACCTGCTGAATGTTTGGTCTTCTGCAATTAGTCACTGGAATGAATGGGTTGGGCCAGAGTGTGCTTTAATATTCTGTCCAATGTGTCAAAACAAATCTAATTACTGATTAATTGATTTTTTACATTGGCCATCAGTTTTGCTATTGATGCAAAGATAGCAGCAAAAGAGGGATAAAAACCTTTAATATATTTCTTTGACAGTCCTCCATCAACTTTATATGCTACAAATTCAGAGACATCGGTCAAAGAGCTTCCTGGCCCATTTAATCTCTGTTTTTCACATTTCATATTTTCCACTTTATCTAGGCACAAAAACGTATTTTGCAATATTTAGACATTTTTTTTCTTATTTTTAGCTTTTCCATGCAGGTTTCAATTTCAAAATTTGCATAAACAAGGTGGATGGAAAATCTTTCCTGACATTCCACACTGTGGCCTACTGAACAGTTAGATTACTTTTTAATACACTTTGATTAGCTGTTTATTCTACCAAGCAGGATACTGGGCAGCACGGAAACTAGTTTGGGCTCTCCTGGCCAAATGACCACTTTGTGAAAGTGAAAGTGAGTTAGTACACCCGTCTACAGAGAGCACACTGCACATTTTAATGCACACTTACTGTTTACTTGCTGACTTTAACATATTAGAAGAAAAAAATTCTAATGTGGCAAGTACAAAGATTATGGCACATTTAATATGTTATATTTTAGTTTTTTCTAACATTAAGATCTGCAAATAGAAATTATGCTCAGAATTTGCAGAAAAATCTATGTCTCTGAAGAACGAAGGTGTTAGACGCTACAGTATTTTTGAAATAATTTACCAACCTTTGAATGCTGAAACCTTGAATAGCATCAGCATTAGGAAGGACAGAACAGTTGCCTTGCAGCGCTGCATACTCAGACCATTCCTACAACCAGAGAACAACAGGAACATGTATTAATACATCCTTTGACATGAATTTGGATATACCTAAACCCAGTCATATTGCATATCAGCAGTTCCATCTGAAAGACAGAAAATCAAGGTGGTATAAACTCCAGAAGATTTTTTTCTTGCTGTTTTTTCTTCCACATTTTGCCACAACTCAAAATAAGAGAGATAATTATGACAATCATAATATAAATAACTAATTTAAATAAAAACATAAGTCTTATATTAGTAGTAATAATCTTGACTAAACTTGATTGCTTACTTTAAATAAATGATTGATTTAATTCACCTTCTCAATGAACTATATTTGCTCACAATCTCTCTTACAGTGTGACAGACATTTATATGCATTTTCTTGGCAAGTAATATTTTTATATTTATATATATATATATATATATATATATATATATATATATATATTTTACAAACTCTTTATAAATGTCTCCCTATCTTTATAGTACAATATTTTAAAACCTTAAAAATAATCAGTGGATTACTCATTTACTAATATCACAGTATTAGTGACAACCTGATAATGACACTTTGTTTGTATTTTCTCATACACTTTGACACTTTGTTTGTATTTTCTGTGAATGACTGCAGAGTATGAAAGATGCTATGTAAATAAACTTGCCTTGCTTATATAGAACCCATGGTTCTAAACAAAATCAAAATCAACTTAGACCAGCACAAATTCCATGGTATATGCTGGTCTGGTGCTGGTTTAGCTAGTAAGCATTGTCATACCAGAATCCAAAACACTGGTTTTGCTGGAGCTGTTTTTTCTAGCAATCATAGCTATTGGGGACATGCCTGCTAGCAGGCAATAGCAATAGCATGGCAAGCTATTTTAGCCTAAAATGACACCAGTGATACAAGGCACAACTCTGTTTTTACTAGTAAAATCTGTAATGCGGTTCCTCCTAGTAAAAACTATAATTCCAGATATCAGCTATGCAGTGTTTACTAGTCATAATACCAAGTATACATATTGACAAAGCCAGTTTGACTAGTCATATTGCCAGGATGACATATTCATAATGTCATTTTGACTAGTCATGTGTTATCATTGATTTACATTGAAATTTCAATATCATCAATATTTGAACATATCTACAATTATATCTGCACTAGTAGGAATTCTAAATCACAGATATCTACACTTTAATTTTGACTAGTTGAAAATCCATGTCAAAATTTAAATATGGATTAGTATTGAAAGAAGTTAATGTGCTGTGTTGTGTGTGAAGGTGCTGAAGTTGTATTTTAGGCCCTGTACTGCAGTCTGTGCAAGTTTTATGGTTGTCCTGTGTTGTCATGGTGGCATTAGGTGTCATCAATCAGCTCATGGGGCAAGGTATTAGTTTTATTTTTTTATGCCTGAAGTGGTCCAAATCTCTTGCAGATTGTGGGTTACTAAAGGTTGAACATGTCAACCTGACTGGGTTTTCCTTGTCTGAATACCAAGCAGTATGAAATTAATAATGCAACATTGTCAGGTATTATTTTGATAGCTTCCTCAAATGCAGAGGAACATGAACATGACTTGCTAGCTTTGTTAGATTACCTACATTCCGTAGGACACAAAGCCTCTTTTAAAAAGATTAATCAATCCTCTGTTCAGTATTTAGGACAGCTGGTTTTACAGGCTCAGAAGTCAATTTTACCTGACTGTTGTGCCACAGTATGTGCTATTTTATTACTTGATATGTTAGCACAGCTGCAATCTTTTCTGGGGTTGTGCAATTATTGACAATCTTGAATTGAGGTTTATGCGAAAATCTGTTTAACCACTATACGATTTAACTAAACCAGAAAATCAGAAAACTGAGTTTCAGCTAACTTATGATCAGTTAAGAGTTTTCATTCTCTTAAACCTGCATTATGCAGTGCCCTAGGACTAGCGAACATGGAACTACTGTTCATGCTATGTTTCAGCATCACTAGGGTTTGTGTTTAGCTGTTTAACTCAAACTCATGGTGACAAAGAGAGGTCTGTGTTTTATTACTCTGCTAAGATAGACACGGTTATGCTTGGAATATCACTTGCCTGAGAGCAATCCAGGCAACTTATCTGTTTTAGCTGTTGCTAAAACACCTGGACACCTGGAAATGCTATTTCAGATCATTTGGTGCAATTGAAATATGATTCAGATGATCGTGAGTGTGACACTCTGGTGTCTAGTGCGGTGCAGAGCATGTATGCTGAAACACCTTTGCCAAATGCTGATGTTGTGTTATTCACAGATGGCTCTTCCTGCGTCCATGATGAAGGATGACGCACAGGGTGGGCTGTCACAACACAGTATGAAGAAATAGCTACCGGCAAATTGCCGAATCATTATTCTGCACAACAGGCAGAACTAGTAGCACTAACTCATGCCTGTGTGCTTGCTAAAGATTTAAAAGCAAATGTATTTGTTGATTCAAAGTATGTCCATGGCATATGACATGATTTTGGCTTGTTATGGAAGCAGAGACATTTTGGACAGCAAATGGAACCTTAGTGAAAAATGCTTAGCAGGTGGCAGACCTAATGGAAACGCTCACACTTCCAAAACAGGTTGCTATTATTAAAATAAAAGCCCATTCTTCTGCCACATCTTCTGAACACCAAGGCAACTGTTTAGCTGATAAGGCAGCAAAAAGGGCTTGTCTTTTGCCTATTGAATATATCTTGTCACCCTGTGAACAACCTGTTGTTAAAAATTTGGCTGATCTGCTTGTTTTATATCAGCAGGCCCCGGGTTTGGAAGTTTGGACTTGGGTTGAGCAAGGTGCATCTCTTCCCGATGGTGTCTGGGTTAAAGGGGGGGTAAATATGTGGCTCCTGATGCCCTGCTTCCCTATTTGGTGGCTACCATACATAGTCTAGGTCACCCTGGAGTAACCCAGATGGTACATTGCTTCAACCAAGTATGGTGGAATCCTAAACTCCGCAAGTATGTGGAGAGCCATTGTCTAGCTTGCACCACCTGTCTTAAGGCAAATCCAGGACTTGCAGTCTCCCTCCCCTACCAAACTGTAACACCACCGAGTGGCCCTAATTGTTGTATTTTAGGCTGCCTATTTTTGTTTTCTCCTTATATGTTCATGTTGGCACACCTGTTACTTGTCCTGTATAAGCTGGGTCTAATCTTGGCATCAGTCCAGCTATAAAACTGTGACAGTCCATTGTCTTACGGGCTGGCTGGGTGTCTGCAACGAATAAACTTCACCATTCTATCAGTATAAATATTCATTCAAGATATATTTAATATAGTTGTGTCACGCATCCCTTGGGCTCAGAGGGCTCTAGAGACTCCATTTCCCAGAATCCCCAAGGGGATCACATGATTCTCAGCCCTCCATCTCGCACCCATCACTGCTCTCTGTTGCCTGAATACTAACTTGTTACACCTGTTCTCTTATGATTAGCTTAGTATAAAGCCTGGGCTTTTAGTCTAGATCAGTGTGAGGTATTGCTACTTGTTCCAAGAGCTACTGAGCATTATTATTCTGATTATTGTGATGTTTCCGGTTCTGACTCTGTTTTGCTGTTTTCACTTTTGAGTTATTCTGCCTCATTACAAGTTGTCACTAGTCACACTATGCATTACTGATATGTATAGATTTAAATCTCTAAGATACAGCTGTAGATCTCTAGAATTCTGTTTTGATTAGAAAAAATAATGTTAAGATCTAAATGTAGAGGTATAACTAGTCAGAATGCAATTTTGGCCAGTAATAACTACATTTCATCTTTGTATATGTATGATACAGACACCTGTAATTATGTTTTGACCAGCAGGAATTACAACGAGTAATAATTCAAAATAAGATATCTAAAATTAAGAGTCATTAAAATTTGTCATAATAGCTTTATAGACATTTCATTGAAGTTATTCAGATAAAATAGTTTCAGATTACAATTCTAACTCTTACTAGTCAAAATTATGTTTTTACATCTCATCAGTTTAATGCATATATAAACAATTATGATTTCACCTTTTAATGCATATTTATGCATGCAAGTCAGGGCAGGGCACAAGATGGAAGACAGTCGAGAAGGAGAGGAATGAAGGGCAGAGGAAGAATCTGACCCATTTAAAGTACTAAACTGTAGTTATTGAATAATAAGCCTTAGTATGTAATAAGATGTAATAAGCCTGGGATTTTAAGGGGTTAACCAGAATTTAATAAAATAAGCTAAAAGTGCATTAGCATGTACACAATTTGGCAAGCCTAAAAAAATACATTATTATATCAATTAATGTAAGCCAAAGCATCTCCTGCCTCTTGCCAAATGCAGGTGAAAACTGGCGAGAGATTTGCCTACAAAGAAGAACAACTCCACATTAATGCCTATAGATTTAGAATGGGATGTCATAAAAGCTCCTGTAGGTGTAACACGCAGCTAAATGGCTAGCCGAACAAAACGGGCCCAGTCGAGTCTATAGTATCGTATTCATGCTGTTCTTTACCAGGTCTAACTATAAAAGATACAGACAATGATTTGAACAGTTATTAGGACGATTCACAGCTTCACAGACACAGGGCAAAGAACTTATTCCGAAAGACACCGTCCACCTGTGCACCAAAACAGGAGAGTTAAGGTACGCTACGAGCATTTTAGCCCAAATTACTAGCAAAGAGATTTTTATATCAGCGTTTCTCAAGCAGCAGCCTAAATATTCGTGTGACAAAGAGCCGGAGGACGGAGTCGCCTCATCTCTCCACGCCCATCCTCCGTCGCAGCAGTCACAAACACTGACATACATACGTATGGTCACAACATGACGTCGTTAAACTGTCATGGCTAGCACAGCTCGCGGGTTAAACAGCGTCTCCTAAATACAGCGAATTACAAACAGCAGTCATGGCGGCTGGAGTCTAATGTTTCTGTCTGTAAAGTGATCAATACTAACCTTCTCGGCTGTGAGTCCAGACTGTGAGCACCGAGCACAGCGAGATTTCCAATCGGAATAAAATGCATGCGTTTCTAAACCGAACCTGCATCCCTGCCCATACATTTGTTTTCCGCCAAATCGTCAAAACGTCAATAGCTCCAGAACCACTGTGTCTATACACATCTGATTAATTGTGTTGTTTACTTTGATCTATGGTGAGAATTGCACACCAACTGCACACCACAAAAAAGGACATTTAATTAACCGGTAGCTAAAAATGTGCATGCCCATACTTATTCTACTGTAATACCTGTAAAAAGTGATGTTACCTGTATACTGACATTAGCTTGTGTTGTTTATTTAGTGGAGATGGTGTTTAGATGTTGTGAAGAAAAACTCCGCCGATACTGAGTTGCTAGCAAAAGATTTATTACATAGTAAAACAGCATCATAGCAAGCACTATAAAGCACCTGAGAGAGGATCCGTGCCAATTCTAAATGTCCTCTCCCGAACAGAATGACCAACAGCATTATATATATATATATATATATATATATATATGTAGTTCTTGTTGTTGAAACAGGAGACAGAACATATGGTTCTTTTTAAAATGATCTCATCTATTTGGAACTAAGAAGAAGGGAGAAGGTCCCCTTCCTATGGACCGTTAAATTGAAGGGCTATGGACCCAGGGGCCCCCCTGGTTCACATTCCTATCCCCTGCACAGAGCACACAGAGACTCCTAGATACTTGGAACTTCAGACATCAGCTTATACTCAATGTTAAGAGTGTTTTTACCTTCTTCTATCAAAAGGTTCCTTTTTCAATATACTTCATTCCCCCCTTTTGAGACTTATAATAAAGTCTCGAAAAACCCAAAAAAGTAGCACCTACATATTTGTAGTTGTAACTAAATAACAGTTCCTCCTATAGCATAACCTTAGCAATGCAACAACTTTCTGGAGTGTGAGAGCGAAAAAACCTGTCAGGCAGCTATCATTCCTGAAATGTCCCTCAAACTATCTAGACAGGAAAAATTCTCTCACGGCCTCTCTGCCTTAGGCGACCACATAAAGTACTCCAGACCACTTTAAAAGGAGGTATTCTGACAAATTGTATATGGATATGACTTAAGCAAATACATATGGAAACCTCAGAAAATAAAATCAAAACAATGCCCACATTCAGGCTGGTCGACCCATCGGACCTTCCCCTGCCTAACACCCTTATCCCTAAGCATCCGAAAAAAGAAAAAAACATCTGAGGTCCCAATACACTCACCCCATAACAGAAACCATCAGTCTTCAAGCAATTTAAACCCCAAAGAAAGTGTCATAAATTTAAGTACTACTCATACACTCAATCCACATAGTATGTCTTACTAAGATTATCACTTCCTTATAAATGTCCTCCATCAATATCACCCCTTACCATATAATATACTAAATCCCATACTATGCAAATATATATATATATATATATACATATATATATATATATAATATATATATATATATATATATATATATATATGAAGACATAAAAATGTATCACACTGCAGCTCCTCAGCAGCGCTGACTCTCAGTGTAGCGTCGATGATGTGTTGACTCCTGGGCATCGTATCACAGCGTCCTTATTCAAAGTCCTTCAGTCCAATCTTAGTGTCCCTGCACATCAGGGTCCCCGAAGATTCAATCACCCTTGCAGTGGTCTTCCCCCAGCATCATTCTTGAAGGAAAGAAAAGAAAACCCCCAACCAGTATCTTTTGCACTAAGAAGAAGGGAGAAGGTGAGAGGCCCCCTTCCTATGGACCTTTAAATTGAGGGGCTATGGACCCAGGGGCCCCCCTGGTTCACATTCCTATCCCCTGCACAAACAGAGCACACAGAGACTCCTAGATACTTGGAACTTCAGACATCAGCTTATACTCAATGTTAAGAGTGTTTTTACCTTCTTCTATCAAAAGGTTCCTTTTTCAATATACTTCACTTGATGAAGACATTCACAGTTTTTAAGGTTGTCTTACTTAATTTAAGCAGAATTCAAGTTTATAAATACACCAAACACTCAGTTTGTGAAGTTAGAGGCAGTCTTCAAATAGACAGCTTGGAGATATAATAGTGCATGTGGAGTTCTTTTGGAATGAATAACACTAATATAATATTTAAACTTTTACATAAAAAAAAATAATATGGATGTAATCAAATACTTAATTTATATTTTGTTATTTCAATTGTGGTTCAACCACATTAAATACAATGCTAGAATCAACTACAAATGGTGCAGCTAATTGGGAATTATGACAAACATCTCTATTTTAAATATAATACTTTACATTATTTTTTCCTTTTTGAATTTCAATAGCATTTTAGCTGCATTACATTTAACAGTGAAATCAACAGTGTTTGGTGCAGACAGGTGTTAGTGATGATGCACAAACTTTGGATTTTACCTTTGGATCTAATGCAGCTGATTTTAGTGTTGTAAGTAATGCAGCTAAAATCCTTTTGAAATTCAAGATGGAAAAAAGTATAAAGTAGTTATCACTACATTCAAATCCAGAGGTTGTGCATCATTGCTGCAACTTAGCTACAACATTTCCTAACAATGTTAGTGTTCCATACACTGCAGCTGAAAAGGTAGTTTTTGCATTACATCCAAAATCCAACGAGTGTACATCACTGCTGACACCTAACTGCACCATGCACGTTTGTTTTTAGGGTTGTAAGTAATGTGGTTGAAATGCTATTGGAATATAAAATTCAAAGGGTGTGCATCATTGCTGACACTTCACTGCACCATACACCATTGTTTTCACTACTGTATGTAAGACAGCTGAAATATTATTGAAATTCAAAATAAATAAAAAATTAATAAAGTTATTGCATTGCATCCAAAATCCAAAAGTTGTGTATGATTGCTGATACCTAACTGCACTGTGCACATTTGTTTTTAGGATTGTATGTAAGATGGCTGAAATATTATTGAAGTTCAATATATATAAAAATTAATATGAAGTCATTATTGCATTATATCCAAGATCCAAAAATTGTGCATGATTGATGATACCTAGCTGCACCATACACAGTTGTTTGTGTTGTATATAAGGTGGCTGAAAGTTCAAAATAATTAAAGTAGTTACTGCATTACATCCAAAATCCAAAAGTTGTGCATGATTGCTGACACTGCACCATACACAGTTATTTTTAAAGTTGTATGTAAGATGGTTGAAATATTATTGAAGTTCAAAATAAATATAAATTAATGAAAAGTAGGTATTGCATTGCATCCAAAATCCAAAAGTTGTGTATGAAATTCAAAATACATAAACATAAATATAAAGTAGTTATTGCATTATATGCAAAATCCAAAGGGTGTGCATCATTGCTGACACTTCACTGCACCATTCACAGTTGTTTTTTAGTGGTAGCTGACGTAGCTGAAATATTATTGAAATTCAAAAAATATAAAACTGAATTACTGTATTACTGCATTACATCCAAAATCTAAACATTATGCATGATTGATGACACCTAACTGCACCATACACATTTGTTTTTAGTGTTATATGTAATGGGGCTGAAATGCTCTTGGAATTCAAAATAAATAAAAATGTATATAAAGCAGTTATTGCATTACATCCAAAATCCAAAAGTTGTGTATGATTGCTGACACCTTACTGAAACATACACAATGGTTTTTATTGTTGTATGTAAATGTGGTTGAAATGCTATTGAAATTCAAAATACATAAACATTAATATAAAGTAGCTATTGCTTTATATCCAAAATTAAAAAGTTGTGCATCATTGCAGACACCTGGCTGCACCATAAAGTTGCTTTTATTATTGTATGTTATGTAATTGAAATGCCATTTGTTACAGGACGGCGGGGAGGCGGACCCAAGTGCAGAAATGGAAACAGAAAAAAAAAATGGAAAAAATGAATTGTTTGTGACACTGAAACATGCACATGAGGTGACCCAAAGCCAAGTTCGAACTGGCGATGTATTGATCGGCGGTTCGTGGCGTTACCACTGCGGCGCACAGGTAACTACTGGCAATAACACCTCAAGGTAGGGGGCCTTTCCTTTCCTGTCCTGTCCTGTCCTGTCCTGTCCTGTCCTGTCCTGGCCTTGCCTTGCCTTGCCTTGCCTGACACTAAGTACCGTACAAAAGTGTGACAAACACCACTGTTTGCCTTGACCTTAAGTAGAGGAGTCCGCAGGTCTGTCGCGTTGGGCCTAATCGGATGGGAATTGGAGTTCCCTGAAGTTCTAGCCCTGTGCCGCCGTCGCCCTCTGCTGGCAGCAGGCGGCGCAGGCTGGACACCCTGCCGCCGTCGCCCTCTGCCGGCAGCAGGCGGGGCCGGCTGAACCCTTACACCATTGAAGTTCAAAATACCTAAACGTTAAAATAAAATTATTGCATTATATCCAAAATCCAAATGTTGTGCATCATTGCTTACATTTCATCGCACCATATACAGTTGTTTACAAGGTTCTGTGTAATGCTGCTGAAATATTATTGAAATTCAAAATACATGAAAATGTACGTTTTACATAAGGTAGTTATTGCAGCAAATGTAAAATCAAAAGGTTGTGCATGATTGATGAAACAGCTGCACCACACACAGTTTTTAAGTGTTTTAGAGTCGGAGCTACGTTTAATCAATCATGTACAACCTTTGGATTTTGGATGTAATGCCAGAAATACATAATTTTTTAATATATTTTGAATTTCAATAATATTTCAGCAGGATTACATAGAACACTAAAAACAACTGTATATGGTGAGGCGAGGTGTCCGCAATAATGCACAACCTTTGGAATTTGAAACATAATGAAATAAATCCTTTTTATGTATTTTAAATTTCAATAACATTTTAGCCTCATTATATACAACACTAAAAACAACTGTATACGGTGCAGCTAGGTATAAGCAATCATACTTAACTTTAGGATTTTGGATGTAATGCAATAAGTAATTTATATTAATTTATAGATATTTTGAGATTCAATAATATTATATTCATTTTTATTTATCTGGAACTTAAGCCGTCTTATATACAACACTAAAAAGAAATGTCAGCAATGACGTACACCCTTTGGAT